TTTTACTTAGAAAAAATTTGTCCCTTTTCTATTTATTCCCCTCCAAATGTTAAAATCTTGATTTTTTAATATCTAACTTTTTTAATATTAGCATTTATTCATGTAATATATTTATTATAAAGTCGAATAGGTGCCGGTCAAAATCCCGACAAGCACAATCCCGACAGGTCATAATCCCGACCAAAAAATCCTGACAGTCATAATACTGACAATCCCGACAATCAAAATTTTCAAGTAGAAAATCCCGAATATGGGTATGTTTAAAGCTAAGTAGCCTCTTAAAATTTAATTAACTTTAGGGTTAGCTTATTTTTCATCAGAATTTTTAAATGCTGGGATTTTTAACTGTCGGATTTTTTCCATCGGGATTTTTGCTGTCGGGATTTTTTTGTCGGGATTATGACCTGTCGGGATTTCGCTTGTCGGGATTTTGACCCAAACCAGTCGAATTTATATTCGGAGCTTTTTTTGTATTTCTTGATAGTCTTTTTTTATAAAATTCGTACAGATTAAATACACCAAACATGTTAGGTAAGTATTCAAACAAAATTTAATATTGAATGTGTCGATATTAAATAGGAACGTAGTGAAACGTCATAGGACGACTTTCATATGATTGGTTGTTTAATTCAATTTAATTTTACATTATTTATACAGTTTAAAGTATTTTTCAAAAAAAATAAAACTACAAATAAATGAAAAACATGTACATAGGAGGTATTATTAGTGTTATAGGGCTCCATTATTGAAAATGATCAAAATCCCTTTTTGTTTTAGAGTAGTTAGCATAGTAATAATCCTGTTCGATCTATTTTTAAGAAGTTATCACAAAACTAACTTCGTTAAAACAAAGAGGGATTTTGATCATTTTCAATAGTGGAGTCCTACAATTCTAATAATATCTCCTAGTACTTTTTTTTTCATTTATTCCTTGTAGTTTTATTTTTTTTGAAAAGTACTTTAAACTGTATAAATAATGTAAAATTAAATTGAATTAAACAACCAATCATATGAAAGTCTTCCTATGAAGTGAAACGAGTGTATCTAGTTTTGCGTTTGTTAATTGGGTATAGTAACCTGATGACATCATGATCTACAATTATTGATTCTCATGACATAATGATCTACTTTCTTGATTGACATAATGATTTACATTCTTGTTAATATAAAAAGGATTGTATAATATATATTTGTATAATATTTGATTTAGATGTCTAAAAAAAATGCCATTCTGTCTATTCAACACGAATATAATACGTACAAATTTTATACAATCCTTTTTATAGGGTTGTCCGAAAGCGGAGCTACAATACACCCGATTACTGTGCTAACAAATTCTGAATTTTGTGTTTGTAACATAGATCATTATCTTAATTTTTAATGTGTAGAGTTTTACTTTATTAAAAAAGTATAAAGTTTTCATTTTAAATTTAATCAGAATATTTTATTATCAATAATTGGTATTACACTAATCATATTTAATTATAAGTTCGACAATACTGTTAAAATTTTCATTTAGGTTCAATTTATTCATATCGATTTAGCGATCTATATATTTTCTACGTACACGATTTACAAACTAAGTTAGTTGATGAAATCATAATGCGAAGCTCTATATTATAACAAAATAAATGAAGAAATTTTCAAGATTAAGTCGTAATGCTAAATCTAATCAGAAGCTTTATAATATAATGTATGAATTGGCATATATAATTATAAATAACGTTGTCTATGTTCCTGATTTTAGTGCGGCAGTAGGGTGTGCGAAATACTCTGTAAATCAAAACTATATGTGGACTTTTTATGTAACATCCAATTTCATGGCGAATTTGCAAGTTTTTACTATTAACATTATTTAGATGTTTGCAAGTACCTTGCATTTTTATTTATTTTATTAAAAGCAAAAACATTTTAATATATAATATAATCAATGTTACGTTATTTATTTATAGATATCATATAAAAGAAATTTCAAATCAGAGTTGCTTGAAATTTGTAATTTTCTATTATAATTGGTCATATTTTTTGAGATAATCAAAAACATTTTGGCTTAATAATGTAAATTATTTTAACGTAACTTTGTTTGCAATCATTTGAATTTTATTAATATTAAATACCAATATTAAGTGAATACCGTATTTGCGCATAATAACGCCCCCTGTGCTTTATTTTGGGTCCCTGCGCGTTATTTTGAAACGCGCATGCGTCTTATTTTGAGTTCAAAATGTGATTTTTTTGAAATCCCGTGCTAGTATTCGAAATAAAGTGCATGGGCGCTATTATAATAACCAAATTAGCAACAGCAGTTTCAAATACCAATAAAGAATTATTTGCTCTTGCATCGTTATAGCAATAGCAGTAGATTTTTATATACAGTAACAAGTATAAACTTTCTTACATATGTTAATCACATGTTTAATCAATTAAAAGTATATATAAATAGGGTCGATTGCTCTTTTTTTTTTTGGTCTTTTCATCTCAACATATATACTAATCAATCGATTGTACTTTACAGAAACTTGAAAACCTTAATACATAGCTACTATATAGTAACTATGTAGTAACTATATAGTTACTATTAAATTTAATAGTTACTATATAGTTACTATGTAGTAGCTATGCATTAAGGTTGTTAAGTTTCTGTAAAGTACTATGGGGGTCACATTTTTATTATTCACTATTAGCGATGTTGTACAACTAAAAATCGTTGCCAGTTCTAGACCAAATTAGAATTGGGCAAGATTAACATTAATAATAATAATAATAATAAGGCATGTACATACATACATACATATATACGCATATGGGTGCCGTCAAAAAAAAAACCTGTTGTTAGATTTTAAGTTCATAATTTACCCCCAAAGTCTGATAACAATAACATAATGATGAGCAATAAATTTGAAATCATAAAGACAGGGTTTTTTTTAGCATATATAAATAATCCTCAAAATTGTCAATTTTTTTTTAAATTAAAAAAAAAATCTGGCAGTATAGTCGCTCAATTTTTTTGAGTATTTATATTTTTTTTATAACGCCATTTCCATGAAAGCATTTTATTTTGTTAAATCCTCATACATAACTGTTATTAATATGTACTGCATTACCTATATGCTTTAATGATAATAATAATAATAGAATGTTCTTTTATATGGCATTAAGAAAAAAACAAAGATATTAGAATTATGAAAAATTGTCAATAACCTTAAGAGCAGACTATGAAGTTAAACTTGTTGAATAATGTCAAAATTGGGTTACTTAAAAGATAAAATTAACACAACATTAAAATTATTTACTACGCCTCTTATAAAATTCTGTAAATTCACATTTCTATAATTTTTTATCACATTTTACAATTGAACTCTTCGATCATACATTTAAAAAAATAATAGTTGTACTAAGCAAGTTTACAGTCTTAATATTGATGAATATAAAAGCTATAATAAAGAAGTTTTATGTGAGTATAAGAATTAATTTATTATAGATTAACATTATAGTAATTATTTTAATAATTGTCATTAAAATTAGATTCTTTTTAACAGGAATTCTTATGCATATTTTCCGTGACCACACATTATAAAAGAATTAATTTTGTAAATCCATATTTTTGTTTTTTTGCACTTTATTCTTTTTTAATATGGAAGATTTACTTACTGTCAGAAAAAACAAAAGTTATACTGTGGCATTCAATTTGGAAGTAATTGTATATATAAAAAGTACGTCTAATCACAGTGCAGCAAAGTTCTATAATGTTGATAAAAATGTATTTAAAAGTAGAAAAAACAAAAGCTAGAACTTCAAGCAGTTAAACATAATAAAATTTGAATTCAAGACAAGTACGGGTACTTAGTAGTTATAGACGAAAGTCAATGTATCCTGCAATAGAAATAGATTTACTATCATTTGTAAAAAAAAAATATAAAGAAAGAAATACTATCACAGCATTTATAATAGAAAAAAAGCCAAAGAACTAAGTGAATTATTAGGCATAAAAAATTTTAAAGCTTCATGTGAGTGGGTTAGATGCTTTATGCAATGATATAACTTAGTACAGTGTACTCATACACAGATATCACAAAAGTTTCCAGAGGATATGCCACAAGTAGTTTAAAAATTTTTTTAAATTGCACATAATATAGTGAAGAATATTGACAAACAATATATTATTTCTTTTGACGAAACTACTTTTGGTTTGACATGCCAAGCAAATCGACTGTTGATTTTCGAGATTCACATGAGGTGTTAGTTAAAACAACTAGAAATGACAAATTGCACTTTATAGTCATTTTAGCATATACTACATCTGAGAAAAGCTTTCAGCATTAGTATTGTTCAAGTTACAAAAAAAGCCAAAAAAAAAGTTTTCAAGAAATGTTGTTATGGTAAGAGCACCTAATGCAACTATGAATTGTAATTTAATGTTATCTACATATATTCTCAAAGTAATTTGTGCATGAACAGACAGTTTCTTTAAAAACAAAAGCATAATATTTGTTGATCATCATGCAAGCTATATTCATGATGATGTTATAAAAGCACTAAACAAGAAAGGTCTATAAGTTGTAGAAATTCCTAGTAAAACAACCAGTATACTATATTCCCTGATGTTTCTGTTAATAAACCATTTAAAAGTGAATTTAGAAAAAAGTGGGATGAATGGATGAGTAAGGGAGAAAAAAATATATAGCCAAAGAAAATTACAAGAAAACGTCTTATGAGCTAGTCTGTAAATGGGTTTTAAAAACCTGGAAAGAAATTAGTACTGAATTATTAGTTAAATCTTTTGAGCCGTCTAGAATCACATTGAATTCTAATGGTAGTGAAAATTACAAGATATTAAGCTGCTTACAAGCCATAGTTAAAAATCATTTAGATAATATAGACTTGGACATAGAAGATATTAGTAATAATTCTGTAACAATCGCTAAAAGTAGTGAAGAAGCATTTGAAGATAAAGAAATGTTTAATGAAAATATGTTTGATGAAGCACATTTGATGAAGCAATGTTTAATGAAGTGATATTTGATGAAGTGATGTTTGATAAAATAATGTTTGATAAAGAGATATTTGATACAGAGATGTTTGATAATAATAAAATAATTGATAAAGAGACGCTTGATAAAATAATATTTGATGAAGAAATAGTTAATGAAGGGATGATTGAAAGGTTTGATGAAATGGTTATTGATGAAGAGTAGATTAATTAAAGTATCACAAATTGATTTATAAACTTATATTAAATTACATGGTTGATATTAATACTATATAATTTTTTTGGTATAGACTTATATTTTCTTTTAAATTGCATTGTTTTATTCAACTTGAATATTTTCAAATTAAATTCATGATGAAAAATTATCATTAGGCATTTAATAAACAAATTAAAATTGCTAGAATTTAATGTAAAAGTATTAGGCTTGCGTTATAATTCTGAATAAAAAAAGTGCTTAAGAATACATTAATATACTAGAAACTGTTTAGGTATAAACCTGCTTATTATTAATTATTTGCTTTTGAAAAAAAAATTAATGAAGAATTTATAATTAATACAAGAGAAGAGGAGGCGCCACCAGCGCCTCTATATTAATTGTAACATTTTTTATTGAGATTTATATATTATTTT